GAATTCAACAAAATGGTATGGGCAGGCATTGTGGCATTGAAGATGAAGCCACTGCTTGGCATTCATGCATCAGAATTTCTAGGTTGAGTCCCATCTTGACTTCTGATCTAGCTTCCTGCTGGTACATACCCTGGAAGGCAGTATAGATGATGGCTCAAATACTTGAGTCCCTGTCACCTACATGAAATCCGGATGGGAGTTTCCAGGCTCCTGGCTTTGGCTGGGCCCAATGGAGTAGGAACACCTTATGCGTTACCATTTGCCAGTTGCAATCTGTGTGGGGTTATCTGAAGGACCAACACAAGGCATTCATTCATGTTTTGCCTAACTCAGAACCCGTTCAAGGCAGAAAAGTGGTGTACACTGCTGGAAAACACTGGAAGGCAGATAAAAAATCCAGAGGCCTGGGGCAAAAAAAACACGGTTATATGTATATACAATAGAAAACTTAAAGCTTGCCAGGAAGATTTCTTTGAGAAATCTGAGCATTCAAAAGTACCTTTTTGTATTGAGTTTAGAAAGCCAGGCATATCCCCAGAATAAAAAGCTTGTTTACAAAAGATCTGAAAAGACCCTAATCTTCACCACTGCCTTATCTGTGTGCTTAGTATAAACTGGCTAAATGTTGAAGGAGGGCCCCAGCACAGACTCAAGCGGCAAAGCCTGGCAGAGATGTTTGTTTTTAGCTCTTAACATTCAAGAAAATCTATCAAAACATTTAACTGAACACCAGCTAAAGGAAGAAAGACTTTGGTGACCACATACAGCAAGGAATATAATTTCTATAAAAACAGTTGAGAAAAGTAAATAAAAGATGGACAATTAGAGCATTCAAAAATCAAGAACAAGGAAGAGGTAGAATCTGATATCCAGAGGTAACACATTATAATATTCAAATAACCAGTTTCTAACAACCAAAAATACAAAGATTACAAACAGGAAAGTATGACCTATTCAAAGAAAAAATATTGATAAAACTATTCCTGAGAAAGCCTAGACATTGGCCTTATTAGACAAACACTTTAAATCAATTTTCTTAAATATGTTCAAAGACTATAGGAAACCACAGATAAAGAATTAAAGGAAATCATGAAACCACCGTATGAATATTGAGACTATCAACAAAGATATTAAAATTGCATAAGTCCATCAAACTCTAGAGTTGAAAAGTACAGTAAGTAAAATAAAAAAGCCATTAGAAGCTTTAATGAATTTGAGTACACAGAAGAAAGAATGAGTAACCAAAACAAAACAAACACACAAGAAGAAAAGCAAACCAAGTCAAATGGACTTGTGTGGGGCCAGCCCTGTGGCACAGCGGGTTAAAGCCCTGGCATCCCATATGAGCACCGTTCTAGTCCTGGCTGCTCCTCTTCTGATAGCTCTCTGCTATGGCTTGGGAAAGCAGTAGAAGATGGCCAAAGTCTCTGGGCCCCTGCACCCACGTGGGAGACCAGGAAGAAGCTCCTGGCTCCTGGCTTCGGATCAGTGCAGCTCCAGCCATTGCAGCCATCTAGGGAGTGAACCAGCGGATGGAAGACCTCTCTCTCTGTTTCTACCTCTCTCTGTAACTCTTTCAAATAAATAAAATAAATTAAAAAAAAAAAAAAAAGGACTTGTGTGACATCAACAAGCAGACTAACATCACATTATATGAGTCAGACAAGACAGAATATTTGAAGAAATAATGGCTGAAAAAGTCCCATATTTAAAAATGGGAATCAATACATGTAATAAGCTCAATTGAGTTCCAAAAAAGCATAAGATGAAATACATTACTCACTGCAAAAGTCAAATACAATGAAAGCAGCAAGAGAGAAGCAACTTATCGCATATAAGAGATGCTAAATTAACAATAGTAAATGATTTCTTGACAAAAATGGCCAGAAGGTAGTAATACAATCTGCTTAAACTGTTGAAAGGGAAAACAAATAAGTCAAGGATTTTATATCTAGCAGAACTATTCTTAAAGAATGAAGACACTAAGACATTCACAAATAAAAGCTAAAGGAGGTCATTACTAATGCCCTACAAACAACACTGAGGGGAAAGCTTCAGACTGACGTGGACTAGACAGTAACTTGAAGCCAAAGGAAATGTGTCTTTGTTTTTCTATTCTGTGACTAGGTATATGTTCCTCTAGGTCTCCTTTCTCTTTGCTTTAATTTCACTCTCCTTAAGATAATTATGGCAGAATAAGAAAGAACCCAATAATAGGAAGTTAGAAGACTTTACAGGAATAGGGCTCCAGTCATTTTCAAACTGAGAATCTGAGGTCAGAAACCCATTTTGAAATAAAATGAATATTTTGACTTTCAAGTTTTAAGATTAAGAGCAGTTTTGGAATTAATTTCATAAACATTAACTGAATTTAAAAAATGAACAGGCTAGTCTCTCTTATCCTTTCTTTGCTCTTTAAAATACCAACAATAAGGAATTTTAGTATCTATGTCACACGATGGGTCTTTACAAAGTTCATGGAAAATGCTTCTTATGAAAAAATGAGGTGGATCTCAAAACTTTTTGCAATGAAATAAATTATCTTTTAATTCAGTAAAATTGCCTGCAAGTGGGCATTCAGCTTAGCTGTTAAAATGTCTTTGTTTCACACTGGAGTACCAGGGTTTGATTACCAGCTGACTCCTAACTCCTAACTGAATGCAGACTCTGGGAGGCAGTGGTGATGGCTCCAGTAATTAGGTACCTGCCACCCACCAGGAGACCTGGGTTGCATTCTTAGCATCAGGCCAGCCCTAGCCACTGTAGGCATTTGGGGAGTGAACCACAGATAAGAACTCTTTGTTTATCGTTTTTCTGCCTCTGAAATTCATTTTTAAATTGTCTACAAAAATGGTAATTCTATATAGTTCAACCTAAGAGATGACATTTCAGCTAGATATTGGGTGAAGCAGAAACAGGAAAAAACAAGGGTTTTAGAGGAAAGTACAGATAGCACATCCCTTAACTTACATGGAACACTGTTGTGCTCTTCACGCTCATTTTATAGAAGGCATTAGGAAATAAAACACACGTTTCTTGGAGTCAAAGCATTATGCTGTTGCCATAACTTTTACTGAATTCTTTAACAATAATTCTTTTTCCAAACTAAGAATCACAAAAATATAAAATTTTAATCTCCAAACCACAGAATGTACTGCACGGATAACAAAAAGGGTAGAAATTCTGGTATATATCTATTTTTATAAATCTCAGATTTCCTGGATTAGCTAGAAGCCCACAAAATTTTCCAAAGTATGGTTAATTACAATTTTGACTGGTATTAGTTCATGGAATTAATCCATGAATTAGCCATAGGGTGGCAAATAAAGACTGCAAAATCTGAACTCCTAACTTAGGTGTTCAATGGTATTTATTTTCTAGAGGTCTTGATAAAAAACTGAGCTGACAGTTTTTGTTTAAAACTCATGAGGCCGGCGCCGCGGCTCACGGCCTCACGCTGCGGCGCCGGCACACTAGGTTCTAGTCCTGCTTGGGGCGCCGGATTCTGTCCCGGTTGCCCCTCTTCCAGGCCAGCTCTCTGCTGTGGCCAGGGAGTGCAGTGGAGGATGGCCCAAGTACTTGGGCCCTGCACACCATGGGAGACCAGGAGAAGTACCTGGCTCCTGCCATCGGATCAGCGCGGTGCGCCGGCCGCAGCGGCCATTGGAGGGTGAACCAATGGCAAAGGAAGACCTTTCTCTCTGTCTCTCTCTCTCACTGTCCACTCTGCCTGTTAAAAAAAAAAAACAAAAAAACAAACAAACAAAAAAAAACAAAAAGCAAAACTCATGAAAGTATTTTCGTTTGTTTAACTTCTCATTATGTGGATACTAAGCATTGAGCTAGACCTTCAAAGATCATGTTGGGAAAACAACTTGGTTAAAATAACTGCTTCCAATTAGGCTGTAGATTCACTGCCAAATTTGTTTAACTGACAAATTTTCACACAAGAAAGAAAGATTAGAACTCTGCATCAAATGGATGAATCAATTCCACTATAGAGACTCAAAATTCCCAAATTCCTGATGGCACAAAGCTCTTGTATGCTCTTAGTCACACTAATTGCATTATATGAAATCAAGTAAATACACAGAAAGAAATCGACTGGGTCATTCCATGTGTGTGTGCTTTACCCACATTTCTTCTGTTTTCTAGTCTCCACATTCCCACCCACAAATTTCCAACAACAAACAATACTGTACTGAAAAATACAAGAATAGTTCTAGTGTTAGTCTAGTTTTAGTACTTTTAATACTACTCAAAATTTAAAAACAATAAATTAAACCTAGTGGTTGGCAAATGTTTGCTGTAAAGCATTAGAAAGTATCTATGGGGGATTTGTTCAGAGACTTCTCCACAGGCATCAAAATACACAGGTTCCTTACATAAAATGCCATATGATTTACATGAAACCTAGGCACATCTTCCTTTGTACTTTAAGTCATTTCTAAATTGCTTATAATATATAACACAATGTAAATAGCTGTTACATTGTATTGTTTAGAGAATATGATAAGAAAAAAAAAGGCTGCATACATTCTGTACAGATGTAATACTTTTTCCCAAAACTTTTTTTTTTTTTTTGCCCAGAACATTTTTTGCTCAGTGGTTGGTTGAATTCACAGATGTGGAAACCATGGATAGAGGGCCAAAAGATGGGAGGAACCATACTGTCTTTGTCATACTTAGTCAAACTTGTTATTGTGATGTGAAAGCAACAGCAAAGACAAACACAAAAGACTATGTTCCAAAAAACCAACACATAATGCCTAACTAGGTGGTAGACTGGATTTGGTCCATGAGTCATATTGGCTAACACCTGTTCAAACATAGCCTTCTAAACTAGTCTAATCCCAGAATTACCTTATATGAAAAAATGCAAGCAATTCTGTAAACTGAAAAAAACTTTTAAAATTGGAGGATGGAAGGGTGAGACAGGAAAAAAAAAAAAAACATACAGATATAGTTAAATAAGGAAAGGATTAACTCTATTAGGTTACCTTCAGAGGATCTGAATTCTTCTCCTTTTGAAGTACCTTTTGTACCCATATTATCATCACTGTCACATTCTGTAAGAAACAATCAAGAAATGCAAATACATTTCTGAAAAGGTTATTGTGCCATAATTTGTGCATTCTCAAACACATGAATGACTTCTCTCATATAGTTAAAATTCATTAGTAAGCAATTTTTCCAATAGGTTTTTGTTTGTTTTTTGTTTTGTTTTGTTTTTTTTTTGACAGGCAGAGTGGACAGTGAGAGAGAGAGACAGAGAGAAAGGTCTTCCTTTGCTGTTGGTTCACCCTCCAATGGCTGCCGCGGCCGGCGCACCGTGCTGATCCGATGGCAGGAGCCAGGTACTTCTCCTGGCTCCTGCACCATGGTGTGCAGGGCCCAAGTACCTGGGCCATCCTCCACTGCACTCCCTGGCCACAGCAGAGAGCTGGCCTGGAAGAGGGGCAACCGGGACAGAATCCGGCGCCCCGACCGGGACTAGAACCCGGTGTGCCGGCGCCGCAAGGCGGAGGATTAGCCTAGTAAGCCGCGGCGCCGGCTTTCCAATAGGTTTTTAAAAAGTCTTACTAAATGGTGACAAATTAAATTCTCCTGTATTCTGAAAATCATACATTAATCTCTATAGAGATAACACCACAGGTTTTAATTGACAATGCCTCTGTATGTATGTGTGTATTATTGGTTTTATATAAGTAGTCTGCTTATTTTCAAGTGGAAAATGTGCATTTTGTTCTTCCAAACTTTTAGAAGTACCTTTGTATGTAATATTGTATATTCATGTTTATTTTACAATGCAGAGGGTACAGAAAGCTTTCAGCAGATTCTCACAAAGGTCCACTAACCCCTGATCCCCAAATCATGCTGCCTTAAGAAAATGATTGTGAAATCTTTAGATAGGAACACTATGGTCCACTAAATATAAAGAGCTACATCCTGGCATTCTGCTGACAACCAAAATTACCTAAAGGCCCAATTAGAAATATTAGTGAACACTGAGAAACAGATTCTAAATTCTAATATATACTAAATATCATACTCCAACAGAAACTATTACTCTGCTATCCACAAATACCTTTGTTAGGAAAAGTGGTGGAATAAAGAGCTACCCAAGAAAGTGATTTTTCTTTGACGTCTTACCATAAAGTTCACTATAAGGCAATTTAATGTCTACAGTAAATACTCCATAAAGAAAAAATATCTGTCTTCAATAGATAACTACATTTGAACATACTTACAAATCAGTTTAACTTTGAATTCTAGTTACAAAAGTATTACACAATTCACTAGATAAAAGATAAAAACCTCTTGATTTAAAAATTCTAGATTTCTCTGGCCACTTCATTTTAACTATTTGTTACATGAAAAAAAAAAGTAGAGGCTAAGAATCACATTTATTTTCTATAGTGGTAATAATAAGATAGCTACTATTTGTTGAGTACCTAAACATGCTTTTACAACCTTATAGACATGAAAATGAAGCTCAGAAAAAGTCAAGTAACTTGCCTGTAACCGCACAACTAAGAAGCAGCAAAGTTAGCATTTGACAAAAGACCATGCCTTTCTTTATGCACTCTGGGATCTCTGCATTTCACAAAAATCCAGCATAAACTATATAGTGCCTCAAAAGGGCAATAAGTTCACATGAGTACTGGATGTGAATGATTTATTAAGTTCATATGAGTACTGAATGTGGATGATTTAAACACATACATACATACACACACACACACACACACACACACACACCCCTATAGCATAAGGGACAGTCAGAAAGGCTGATCAGCAGATATTAATAACCTGTATCTTAATCATAAACCCTAATATATTCATGTACACATACTCATATGCAGCTCTTCTTACAAACAGAATTTAAATAGAGACAAAGCAAGCCATAATAGGTTTCACACTGTAACTTATAAATGAAATGTTCCCCAAAACAGTAGCATAAAAGAAGGAAAAGAATATTAGACTAGTATGATAAAAGTAAACATTTAAGTATTTCATAAGATATTAAATAGATGTTGCCAAGGTTTGGGGAAGGAATGGCAAAAGAGTGAGGTGGGGGAAAGCTTTTTAAGTAAGTTCAAAATAAAAAGTAGATGAAAAATTACAGAATTAGAAGGTAACATTCATTATTAAAATATAAGTATTATATAAGGCTCATTTTCCTTTATAATCTTGCACATTCCTTTAAAGAATCCAGTTGGGCTAACAGATCTTTGACTCCTAATTTCAAGATAATCAATCCATTATAAGTGATTAGAGCAAAATTTTTCATAATGGGCCTTCCATCAAAATATGGTGCCAAATATACAGAAAGAAAAAATAGCGTGGAGGGAAGCAGAGTTGGAAAAGTGAAAGGCAAACAATAAAAATGACAAAAAGTAGCCACTATTTTTCATTGTGGTCATTCATCAATTTCTTCCATTCTTATTTATTTGTGGTTTCAAATACTAATAATTCAAAAATTAACTATTCTTATATTCTCTTATGCTCAAATTCCTTTGAGAAATTATGAAAAACAAAAACTTATGAATCCCTAGAATTATATCCTTTCTTCAGTACTGGTCAGTGAAACTGGTCATCAGCATTCTTTTCATGGACCCATTCCACAAAAGAGGAAAAGAGAGTGCCAGTCCCAGCAATGTAATAAGACAGGAGCTACTCATCCCTTCCAAGAACCTAAAAGCCTATCAGAACTTTACTTTCTCACTATCAACCTCTTAAATGGTCTTTCTCTTTTCTTGGTATTGCTATATTATGACTTATTACTTTTTGGTTTTCACCTAAAAGACTTTGCTTTCTAAAAAACTAATGGAATTTCAGGAAAAAAATAAAATCTGAATTGTAATATATATTTCAACCCATCAATATCTATTTTATATACCAATAAATATAATTTTATCTAATAGCTTAAAAAAATCTCCAAAACATTATTGTGCATTAAAAGCTTTCCTCTAAAACACTAAAGAATGAAAGCGAGATAAGGAAAAGACCAGTAAGATAGAAGCATGTGAGCAGGCAACTGTTTACTAGTGGACAGCAGTTTATTGGTTTTTCTCAGCAGTGAAGTCTCCTCCTCTTGGGCGGTTTGCACTGTGACTGCGGCTGCATACCTTTGGTGGTATCAGATATGCTATTTAACAAGGCACACATCATATCTCCCTCTAAGTGGTGAGGGTTTAGTATATGAGCTGGCCTCTGAGTCTTCTTAAATTGATTCTCTAGTTCCAGAAAACCTTGATCTCCTGAGAGGATGGTGAAAGGAATTTGCTTGGGTAGTTGTTCATCTAGACGGCCAGCCTAAGTTGGAACAAATGGCATAGATTGATAAAAATCAGCATGAGTCTCAAATCGCTTAAATCTATTTCATAGTGAACACATACCTAAGAAGGCAAATTAAGCTAGTTCCCTACCTCCCACAGAGTTTGATATAAAGACCCCTTCATTAATGAAATGTCACATTTAATTACATATAAGCATCCAATAGTTATAAAATAAACTACTTTATCTGCCACTAATAAAAAAAGAAAAACCTAAAATAGAACTCCCATAGGAGGGCTCCCACATTAAACTGGAAAGCCATAGTAAGTGTAACTAAGAAATAAATCTGCCATAGAGGAAAAAGTAAGCAAAATATTTTGCATACTTCAATCTTGGTACTGGATAAGATGGAAAGAAATCTCTTGCAATTTAAATCATAAGCAGCAGTCAACAAGTCTGCAGAGTAAATTCACATTAACAGTGTGACAAATGTAAGCTCTCAAGCAGAGAGTTTAATTTAAAGTACGTCTTGGGTTGGCAGTTTCTCTATGTGACTGGCAGACAGAAATAAACATCAACATTAGCAGTGACTGTGAAAGTATCTCTAAATTTCAGAGATGTTAAATTAAAACTGTCTCAGTACACGTTCAGCACAGATTATCTTTTATTTACTCCTAACACAGATGACAGTCTATTATGCACAGTGGAAGGTCAGTGGAAGGTCTGCTAGGAGTTGGGGACAAAGCAGCCAAAAAAAATATGCGGGGCTTGTGCAGCAGCGTAGCGGGTAGCACCAGCATCCCGTACAGGCACCAGTTTGAGTCCCAGCTGCTCCACTTCCAATCCTGCTCCCTGTTAATGCACCTGGGAAAACAGCAGAAGACACCTCAAGCCCCTGCAGCCACATAGGGGACCCAGAGGAGGCTCCTGGTTCCTGGCTTCAGATTAGCCCAGCTCCAGCTGTTGTGGCCATTTGGAGCCTGAACCAGCAGATGGAAGATTTATCTGTCTCTCCCTTTCTGTAATGCTTTCAAATAAATAAAATCTTTAAAAAAAAAAAAAAAAAAGGAAAAATGCCATGGGCTCCTGTTCTCACTAGTAGAATACTGATACAGAATGTTTTATTACAAAAATATACTACTAAAGAATGATCTACACATTGTCATTACAATTCAAGTGGGAAAAAAATTTAAGGAGGTCATCTTAGATTCCCATTAGATTTTGAATAAAATAATGACTCACATGCATACATATGGCAAAATCAGCAGCATCTTTTCTTTTACTACAGCGAGGATGAAGGAAGAAGCATCCAATTCTGTTCAGGTAATTATAAATTTTACAGTTGAGTGGAGGCTTCCAATTGGTGTTTCCTCCTGTAAGTTTTAGAAAAGGCATAAGTGACAGTAAAACAGGAAGAAAAGACTAAAACTAGTATCAAATGAAAACTTAAACTAAAAAAATATCTTTCTAGAGGGAAAGTACTAGATAAAAATGTAGGAGAGGCTGGCGCTGCGGCTCAATAGGCTAATCCGCCTGCAGCACTAGCACCCCGGGTTCTAGTCCCAGTCGGGGTGTGGGATTCTGTCTCGGCTGCCCCTCTTCCAGTTCAACTCTCCGCTGTGGCCCGGGAGTGCAGTGGAGGATGGCCCAAGTTTTTGGGCCCTGCACCTGCATGGGAGACCAGGAGAAGCACCTGGCTCCTGGCTTCAGATCAGCGCGGTGCACCGGCCGCAGCGGCCATTGGAGGGTGAACCAACGGAAAAGGAAGACCTTTCTCTCTGTCTCTCTCTCTCACTGTCCACTCTGTCAAACAAAAAAAAAAAAAAGAAGAAGAAGAAGAATTCAGTCTTAGCAGAGAAATCATCATCCTGGGAAAGATCAACTTCCCTGAATCTGCCTTCTCATCTGAAAATTCATGGGGATACAAAACAGAATCAAAAGGAATGAGTGTGAGAGTGTATGTGTATTTCTGTGTGTGTGCAAGCAGGTACACATGTGTGTGTGAAAATTCTTGAACAACCATTAACATTTTGTTATTTTATGCCAAGGCTGTTCTGTCAATAAAAACACAGGAAATCAGCAGAGCTAGACTTAAAACATTATAATGGCTATCTTATCTAGATTAGTATGTTTCTATCTTTAATTCCAATCCTCCTCTTTACATGCTACTGCCTATCACACATGAACTATATCAGATACTCACATACTAAACCTCTGTAAATCAATGGTTTGTAAAAAGATTTGGATTAGATGAAGCTGCACACTACAAACAGCAAGAATGAACTGTGGAAGCAGTTGTGGCATGTTGAAAATACTAATGGTCCTGTAGCTAAGAAGCCAAAGTTTTAAATCTAACACTGTCATTTACTTTCTTCTACTTTAAAAGACAAAAAATGATAATTGATATCCACGTTAGTACCAAGCAACAGTGCTGGAATACTATAGGTATATTTTTAAAAACAATTTTTTATTCATCTATTTGTTTATTTGAAAAACAGCTAAAGAGAAAGAAGGAGAAGACAAGATCTTCCATCTGCTAGTTCACTCCCCAAACGGCTACAGTGGCACAAATGAGCCAAGATGAAGTCAGGGGCCTGGAACTCCATCTAGGTCTCCCACGTGGGTGACAGGAGCCCAAGTACTTGGGCCATCATCTGCTGCTTTTCCAGGCACATTAGTAGGGAGGTGAATTAGATACCGAGCAGCAGGGACTCATAAGTGTGGCAGGCAGCAGCTTAAACTGTTCCAAAGCCAGCCCCAGTGTAGGTGTTGAATAAACCCTTTTATAATATATATCTTAAGATCTGCAAACCATTGGTCAACAAAAATAGAGCTAATGTTAACTATGGAGACATGTAGAGAATATGCTAGGAAAGTAACTACATTGCAAAGTCACAATATTCTATTTATGGTCTTATGATCTATTCAGGAAAGTTCAAGAGGAGTCTTTTAAAGTTAATCATACTGTAAGGGTGATAGGGGAAAAGGCTTTTCTTATTAATCATACCTTGAAAGCCCCAAATAAATGTTCCTTGGTTAAGATGCCCTGGTAGATGACCAAAGAAGTTTGACCAGTTATCAAAATCTACAAAGACAATATGAGTCATGGTTCGCAAGTAATCCAAATCTGGAAGCTCAACAATTTCTTCTTCTGAGAAAAAGGAAACATTAACATGAATTCAGTAAAAGTTTGGTATAAACATTCTAATTCTCAAATCTAAAAAATATTAGCATAACAGGCAAAAACTATTAACCTTACAAGTGATTCATCTCAATTTAAACCTTTTCATTTTACCTGTATCTGTATAGACATAGTTTTCACTTAGATAATGTTGAAAGCACTTCAGAATTTTGATTATATATCTTTTCTACAAATATCTGCCATTGATGCTAAAGCTTTTAAGTAGTCATTTGTAAAAGAAAATTTTTTTTAAATTAATGTACTCTAGGAACTAGAAGATCTATTTTTAAAGTTAAATAACCAAAAACTTGTATCATTCATCAATGTAAAATTCCAGGGTTACTTGCTAAGAAACTTCTTGCCACCGGAATTTTTTTTTTCCCAATCTATACTGATTTATTAATCTAGACTGACTCTATGATTAAACACCCAAGAGAGCAGAAATAAGAAAACCTACAACATTGTTGCCATAAAGTGGTGCTAGAAATAGGTGCCAGTGGCACATTAACATCTCCCACCATAAACATATCTTGGTTCTCTCAGGATCTCAGTTCATCTTCCCTCATTCTCCAACTCTTTCTCCCTCCTCTTTGCCTTGCTTCATACTTTTAGACCTTGACATGGCCTTAAAAGTTTCCAGCCACAGTAGTGCAAACTTTAAAAAGATTAAGTTATTTTTAAAAAGAATAGATTCTATTATGCCTAATAGAGGTTCCTTCAAATATACTCTCTCATTTCTAAGCTACCTTACATCCTTTCTCCCAGTTCTCAGCAATTATAGATTTAGAGATTCCAAAATCTCTGTCAAACAGATTAACACAAATTCCCAAAAGTACTCAAAAGAGCTGAAAAATGCATTAGAGAATATAAAATGGTGTGACCACTGTTTGGAGTGGGTCATATATGACTTAATTCTTTCTCACTGAAAACATACTTTAATTAAAGGTGATGCTGAGATCAGATATGCTAATGAGCAAAGTTACATAAATTCAATGGTTCATTGTATAACTCACTGAATTAAAAGTTACTTAAAGGATACAGACCTAAAATTATAGTCTAAACAAAAAACAGTTATCTTCTAAACAAAATTAAAACATTACACTCTTCTAGACTTATTAACCTATGACATGGAAGAAGGAAAATCAGATTAAGTACAAGAGAATTCAAATCTGTTTTACCCATGATTTCTTACTACTACTTTTAACTCTACTTTTAATTGTTATTTTTAACTATATTGTTAAAAGCTTTGCTTCCAAATAAATCATAACAGAAATATATACAAATGCCAAAACTGTTTTTGTCATATTTAAAGATAAGGACAATAGAAACAAAAAGAATTCATCAGGTTATCTTTTTAATATATCTAAATATTTGCAAGATTTTTAAATATATCTGAACAATGTAAGATTTTTAGAAAAATCTAAGTGATGATAATGACCAGAATAACTTTCAAATCTGACTTTCAGTAAGATTATCAACTTCCTTCATCTCTCAAAATCTCCTTTTGTAAAAGAAAATATCTATAATACATTACTTAAACACAACATATACTATGTTTAGAAAGTGAAGTAGTAAGACTATGTACCCCTAAAAAGTATATACCGCAGAATAATTAACTGACTAAAATATCATCCTCTCACGTATCTGGCTTCACAACTGAATCATCAGCAGTCTCAAAAATGATGGGTCCACTGCATGTACTTTTATATATTAGAAAGTGAAATTTCTAGAGTTGTAAAGCCATACCTATATTCTGACAGCTTAGGTCATTATCAGTTCCTTTCTCCATGTCTGAATTTTTAGGATGGCTTACTGCCTGTTTCAATTTTCGCTCCATACGTGAGGCAGCGGCAGTAAACTTATACAGGTTTGCTTTTTCAGATCCAAAATGAGACACATTGGGTTTCTTTAAGAAGCAATGTTTTCTATGGAAGTGCTGCTGAGCACTCTCAGGATCATGAAATGCTTTGGTGCAGGTGCCACATTTGATCATGTACTGCTGTTCCTCCCCATCGTCATTCTTTTCTTTCCCATGCACTTGATGGATATGAGCATTCATGTTGGCTAAATTCTGTGCCGTTGCTGAACACGAACTGCAGCGAAACCACAGTTTACCTTTGTCCAGCATCATCTGGAGACATCTACTATAATCTTTTCTTCTGTTGACTTTACAGATGTAACTCTCATGACAACCACAGGTTAACAGGTTGCTGGTCTCTACTACTGGAAAATCTTCCTCAGTTTTAATCGAAGTTTCAATTTTTTCTGACACAAACACATAATCTATGCTGTGACGCTCTTTATAGTGATTCAAAAACGCTTCCTCCACATTAAAGACAAGATCACAAAGCCCACAGAAGTATTTAAGCTTTATATCATTGTCATGTTCATCTTGGCAATGTCGGTATAATGTTTCTACCTTATGAAAAGTCTTTCCGCAATGGGCACAGCTGTATCTATGAAACTGGTGACTTGACAAAGACATGCAATGCTGTTTTACACATTCTTGGGAATCAAACATATCTTCACAAATTCGGCATTGCCATTTGCCCCTTGGAGGACTGTTTGATGGGGAATGATCAATAATAGTAATAGCTGAAGAAGGCTTGCTTTCAGTCAAATGATTCACTAGTGTGACAGAGGATGATGGCAAAGTTTCGTCTTCCATCTCATCCACCTCATAAAAGTATCTGTGTCCATTATGAAATTCAGTCACATGTGCCATGATAGCATCTTTCTTTATTAACTCTGTTTTACATGTCCGACACCAGAAAAGAAAATTATTCAAATGTGCCCCTCCATGAATCCGGCTCATGTGTAAACGGATGACCCCTGAATCTTCACATACCTTTCCACAGACCACACACTTGTAACACATGGTATTTGCTGCAAAAACGTGTTTTTCCACTGCATCTTCACTGGGGAATCGTTGGTTACATTCACAAAACCAGGTTTTAACTGTTGGCTTTTGTTTCTGGGTACAAACCACACTTTCATGGCTTTTATCTTCTAAATTCATCTTCTTTTTTGGAATGGTACTGCAATCCTCTGAGCTAGATCCTTTAATGGACACAGTTCTCTTAAGTGATGAAAATTTGGGTTGATCTAACAATAAATCCAAGTCAGAAGGGGGTTTATTCCCTTCACTACTGTGGCAATAAAGTAAGAGTGATTCTTCCATTGAGTTAATGACTCGGATTTTGTGTCCTGAATTCTCCTTATGAGCTTGGGTGCTCATTTCATCCACAAAGACTTGATTGCAATTTGGACAATAACCTCTTAATATGAATTTCTCTGCAACCTGGGTAATACTCTTCTCAGCTACAGCTACAGGACCAGCATTTCGACAACGAACTCTAAATTGGATAAAAACAAACAGAAACTCTTTTGTAAGTATTTTCTAAATATGCTGTATCTTTTTATTGCAGTAATTTAAAAAAAAAAAAACAACAACGTATAAATAAGCACTAAGATAGCTTTTAACAAAGATGCAGGTTTAATGGTATTTATCACCTCAAGATAACTTAGTATTACACACCTATAGTTTATCTATTTGTAAACTCCATTCAAAAAGGTAAAACTAGAATCAGAAGATCAAAAAAACTCCAGTAAACTTTGGAAAATTAAAACCTGTGTCAAATGCATTGACAGAGGAACTTATCAGATAAGAAAATTATTACTCTCTCCAAAGTAACTAAACTATAAGGAAAATATTATGGTAAGATTCTAGATAACCTAGTAATTGGTCTTATTTTTTTTCTTTTTCCTTCTTCTGGAAAGGCAGAGGGAGGTCATGAGAGGGGGAGAAAGAGACAGAGTGAGTGAGTGAGTGAGAGGGCCAAAGAGAACACACTCCCATCTGCTGGTTCCCTCCCCAAATACTTGCCAATGGCCAGGGCTGAGGCAGGCAGAAGGTGGGAGTTAGGAACTCAATTCAGGTCTCCCCACACTGGTGGCAGAAACCCAACTATTTGAGCCATCACAGGCTGCCTCCCACGATGTGCATTAGCTAGAAGCTGGAACTGGAAATAGAGGTGGGAATCAAACCCAAACAACAGTCTGATGTGGGATTCAGGTGCTCCAACTGCTAGGTCAAATGCCTTCCCCAGTGTGTATTCTTTAACTGATTAACTTTATGCCAAGAACATGCCATACCAATAGCAGTTTTGCACTGAAGAACTAGGCTCAATAATACTACACACTATTCCAAAAATTAACTTCTCTAGGGAAAAGAAAAATGGAATAATGGGGTTCCAATTGTCTTCCCTTCATTATTAAACTCCAAAGAGAACAGACTTGCTGGCACTCTACATACATTTTAAAAGAGGGAAATTATACAAAGTACAATCTCTAATTATAGTGGAATTAAAGGAGAAATTAGAATAAAGCCTCCTAAATACTTAGACATTCATAAATCTTTAAAAGTTAAACAACACATTACTAACAAATATATGTCAAAGAAAAAAACCAAAATGGAAGAGACACAAATTTTTAAAAGTATACTTTAAAAAGCTTTATTGGATATAATTCACATACCACATAATTCACACACTCAGAATGTTCAATTTCAATGGCTTGACATATATTTACAGATAAGTGCAATCATCGCTACAGTCAATTCCAGTACATTGCATCATGTCAAAAAGAAACCTCACACCTTTCAGCTCTCTTTCCCCCTGCTTCCCAACTTGAAGCAATCACTGAGCTCTAAACAACTAATTTCTGTTTCTGTACTTTTCCCTATTCTGCAATTACATATGAATGGAATCATGTAATAAATGAACTTTTTTGACTGGCTATTTCCCTTATCAGAATGTATTCAAGGTTCTCTGGGATTATAACACACACATCAGTGTTTCATTCCTTTCTACAGCCAAATAAATTCCTTTGTGTGATTATACTTTCTTTTTGTTTGGTTATTCATCTGCCAGTGGACAGACATGAGTTGTTTGCAATTTTCAGCTATTATAAATCACGCTGCTATAAAAAATTTGGAAAGCTTTGTGTGTACCTAAGTTTTCATTTCTCTTGACTGTATTCCTGGGAGTAGAACTGCAATGTCAAATGATAATTCTATGTTTAACTGCTTAAAGGAAAAAATAATTTTAATTTAACACAAACTAAAACATTAAGTTATCAACATCTTTATGATACAGGTAAAGAAGTACTTAAAAGAAAATTTACATTTTTAGATATTTATAATGAAAAAGGCCAAAATTCAATGTAGGCCTCCACCTAAAGAAGGCAGAAAAAGGTAAGCAAATTAAAAGTTTAAAGATCAGAAATTAATGAACAAAGAAATAAGCAAAAAACAGACTGAAATAAAATGCTAGTTATTTTAAAACTCAACAAAGTGCCTGCCCTATGGCATAGCAGGTAAAGCTACCACCTGCAGTGCCAGCATCCCATATGGGCCCCAGTTCAAGACCTGGCTGCTCCACTTCCAATCCAGCTCCCTGCTAATGTGCCTGGGAAAGCAATGGATGATGGCCCAAGAATTTGGGTCCCTGCAACCACATGGGAAACCTAGAAGAAGCTCCTAGCTCCTCCTTTGGCCTGGCTCAGCCCTAGCTATTGCAGCCATCTGGGAGTAAACCAGCAGATGGAAGAACTCTCTCTCTGCCTCTCTGCAACTCTGTCAAAAATAAATAAATCTTTTCTTAAAAAAAAAAAAGCCACTATTAAAAAAATTCAACAAAAATTTGATATAGATTAGATAATAACATAACAACAAAAAAAGGTAAGAAGAATTAATCCTGCATTTTTACAATATGAAATAAAATATGGTTAAGATGCCACTTGGGTGCATTTATGAGCTACATGAAATCTGTTTACCTTAAAATAAAAATAAATAAAAAGACACCACCTGGGGGCCTGCATTGTGGCTTCCCATATAGGCGCTAGTTCATGTCCTGGCTGTTCCACTTCCAATTCAGCTCCCTGCTAATGTGCCTGGGAAAGCAGCAGAAGATGGTCCAAGTGCCTGGGACTCTGCAACCACGTGGGAAGCGTAAAAGAAACTCTTGGCTCCTGGGTGCAGCCCTGGCCCAGACCTAGTAAATATGACCATCTGGGGAGTGAATCAGCAGATGAAAGATCTCTTTTTCTCTCTCTTTCTCCCTATCTCTCCCTCTCTCTGACTTTTCCAGATTAAATAAATAAATCTTAACAAAACCAACAATGGTACCACTTCAGATGCCTGCAACTCTTATGGGAGAACCTGGGTTAGAGTCCTGGCTCCACTCCCAATTCCAGCTTTCTGAAAAGGCACACCCTGGGAGGTAGCAGGTGAAAGCTTAAGTGACCAGGTGCCTGTCACCCATGTGGGAGACCCAGACTGAGTTCCATGCTCCTGTTTGCAGCCCGGGCTGTGTGGACATTTTGTGAAGTGAACTAGCAAATAGGAGATCTACTCTACCTCCCTGCCTTTCAAAAAAGATAAAAATGATGGAGCCAGCACTGTGGCATAGCAGGTAAAGCCGAAGCCTGCAGTGCCCACATCCCATATGGGTGCCAGTTCAAGTCCCACTTCTGATCCAGCTCTCTACTATGGCCTGGGAAAGCTATAGAAGATGGCCCAACTCCTTGGGCCCCTGCACCCACGTGGAGACCCAAGAAGAAGCTCCTGGCTCCTGGCTTCAGATTGGTGCAGCTCTGGCCGTTGCAGCCAATTGGGGAGTGAACCAATGGATGGAAAACCTCTTTCTCTGCCTCTCCTTCTCTGTGTAACTTTGACTTTCAAATAAATAAATATTTAAAAATAAAAAAGTGATTTATAAAAATATATCCCTTAAGCAAGAACAGATGATTGCTCAGGAGGAACACAGCATAACCACAAAAGGGAAAAAAATCAGTATACTGCATTTAATGAGATTAAAAACTTCTAGTTATTAAAAGATATAATTAATAATATGAATATAGAAAGTGATAGAGAAATAGTCAAAAATATTCATAATGTCTTAGTCTGTTTTATGCTACTCTAACAAAATACCTGAAGCTGGGTACTTTATAAAGAGATTTGCTTGGTTCATGGTTCTGAAGGCAGGAAAATTCACAATCTGACACCAGCAGGTAAGAGCCTCCTGCTGTATAACATATAGGATGATATCACCAGAAAAGCCTATGTGTGCGAATGGACAGCAGGCTTGTGTAGAAGAGGCTAAACATATGGGGTGGCCTCACTTTTTAATAACCCAGGCTCATGGTAACTGATCCAGTTCTACAAGACCTACCCCCATTCCTTTATGACAGGCATTAATCCCTTGGTAGTGTAATATCCCCATGACCTAATAACCTCTCATTAAGCCCAACATCTTTTTTTTTTTTTTTTTTTTTTTTTTTTTTTGACAGGCAGAGTGGACAATGAGAGAGAGAGAGAGACAGAGAGAAAGGTCTTCCTTTTGCCATTGGTTCACCTTCCAACGGAAGCCGCGGCCGGCGCACTGCAGCCAGCGCATCGCGCTGATCCGAAGCCAGGAGCCAGGTGCTTTTCCTCGTCTCCCATGTGGGTGCAGGGCCCAAGGACTTTGGCCATCCTCCACTGCACTCCCGGGCCACAGCAGAGAGCTGGCCTGGAAGAGGGGCAACTGGGACAGAATCCGGCGCCCCGACCGGGACTAGAACCCGGTGTGCCGGCGCCGCAAGGCAGAGGATTAGCATATTGAGCCACGGCGCCAGCCTAAGCCCAACATCTTAAAGGTTCTACCACATCTCAATACCATTACTTGAAGACCAAGCTTCCAGCACATGAACCTTTGTAGAACAAACCATATTCAAACCGTAGAACATACAAGGAAGGGTATTTTTAAATTTCATAAAAATAGAACTTTAAAAAATGCTTATTTTGGTGCAAAGAATCTTTAAATTGATGTATATTCATATATTTTAGAAATTCCTGTGGCCAGCATTGTGGCATAGTGGGTTAAGCTCTGCCTGCAATGCCAGCATTCCATTATGGGCACAAGTTCAATCTCGGCTGCTCCACTTGTGATCACAGAACACATACAGAAAAATACTCACAGAACTCAGAACTGTTGGCTTATTTTACATTCCAGTGGAATCAAAATATCCACTTTTTCCATACTTCTATCTTCTGTCACTATGCTAAACTTGATTAACTTCCAGACAAACACATATTCTCATTTTAAAAAGAGAGAAACATGGAAAAGGAATAGTTGTTGAATCTTCCCACTGGTGAAGAATTCACCAGGATTCCTTTATAACCCAAGACTAGACTTGTACAAACCTGAAATGGGCAGTGAGCTCCATATGGGAACGCAATGTCTGGTGGCAGGCCACACACTTAACTTGAAATGCAACATCTTTACACAGAGAGACCAAAAGTTTCTTTGCAAAAGATGGAAATGATATTGGATGTGCTATCCCCTTGTCATCTGAAAGACAAAATAAACTAAATTTGCAAAGTCATTTGAATACAGAGTGACTCAACACTTTTCCTCTTATTCTTTTTCAACATCAGTTGGAACAAGATATGTATTTAATAAAAATGCAAGAAAAGTCATTTTCTAGACTTAAATGCAAAGGATGCCTTACTCATATTCAAATTAAAATTTGAGTTTTAAATGCTGAGACATATTCAACTTTCCATACATCAGGAAAATAACAAAGTTATCTTCCTGAATAAATGTTCTCTTCTCATGTCTCTTCCACAAAATGGGTAAACCTTACTTGTAAGTACAAACAGAGAATCTTTTTTAAAAAATAAGAATTGAGGTAAAAAATATTTCACTTTCATGGTGCTAAAATGAAGATAAATAACTTCAGGAAAAATCTGGGAAATATGGTAAATCATCTAAGATGAAAGTAGTTTAATAATTTTCAGCAGAAGAGAGACTTAACATACCACCCAGTTTAAAACTCTGATGGAAGTGATTCTTTCCAGACATATGCTTCAAACACTCATCTTTGCTGCTAAAAAGAAGGAAGCAACTTGGACATGCAAAACATTGAATAACCTGAGGAAGAAGGCTGTTGGAATGTCCATCATCTGCAGCTCCCTAAAATATAACACAAAGCTGTATTATAAACAAGTAAAATCAATAATTATTTTTTTCAAATTAACTTCCAAAATTTCCTATTCATTATTTGGAACATTCTATCTCAACTCATAACATGTAAATTGTGTATCTTTTACCATAAATAAGATTTCCTGTGTAAAATATCAAATTTGTTTCCCTTCAAAAGAAATTCTGGCCATCTTTCTTAGTAATTTGCTAAGTATTTTTCATATTTTACATGCACATTCATTTACAATAGATGCATATAATCATACCACAGTTATGACTTTTTGCTTTACTAATTCTATCCTACAATATATAAACAATATTTACAAATATGTAGTCTACCATAAATTTCTCAGTGCTTAACCATTTACAAAAATAATGGAGAAATAAACATATAACAGCAAATGTCATTGTTTCATCAAATATGGTCATCTTACAGATTTTTCCCATTAGTTTTTTATTCCATAACACCTAATGGAAATTCCAAAAATCAACTGGTATGACTCTAATTCATGGTTCTTAATGTTTACAAAATACCCCATCATGTGGACCTATTATCACTTAGTAAACCATCCATTTCTAGGTACTGTTTTAGATTGGTTCCCCTTTCCACTATAAATAATGATATCAACAATAGCCTTAAATATATATAATATCAATGCTTGTGGGGTGTATTTATATGTATCTGTATATATGTTCAAATATGTATGTTACATACATACATACAAATATGTATTCACCATCCTTTAGGAAAAGTAATCATATTGTATCTTTTAATATGCAAATACATGCACCCTTGAGGTTAAAAGACACTTGGATATTAAAAGATATGGTATGACTGAATTTCAAAAAGGTTCTATCAAACTCATATATCCCCTGGCACTCAATGAGCCTGGCAGCAGTAGATATTACAGATCTTTTCATTTTGGTCAGTCTGCCCGATGTGATTACTCGTGGTTACTTTAATTTATATTTCCTTGTCTGAGCTTGAGCATTTATTCATAAATCTGCTATTTGAATACACTGTTCGGTGAATTTCTTACTCATATCCTTTCCCTTTAATTGTTTTGCTTTCTTCCCTTCTGATTAATCTGAAACAGTCCTTTGTAACTGAAGGTAATTTCTGTCTCATTCTCCAAATATTATTTCAAATATCTATTTCGTTTATAGTTACTTTCTACATTTGTCTATATAAGTTTTCTATCACCTATTTTTTATATTAAGTTAATTTCTCTTTATTCATAATTTTTTTAAATTTTATTTAATGAACATAAATTTCCAAAGTACAGCTTATGGATTACAATAGCTTCCCCCCCATAACTTCCCTCCCACCCACAAACTCCCCTCTCCCGCTCCCTCTCCCCTTCCATTCCCATCAAGATTAATTTTCAATTATCTTTACATACAGAAGATCAATTTAGCATATATTAAGTAAAGATTTCCAGTTTGCACCCACACAGAAACACAAAGTGTAAAATACTATTTGAGTACTAGTTATAGCATTAATTAAACACCTAAGAGTAATTTTATATTTTTTTCCCTCCCACTCACACCCCTCCCATCTCCCACTCCCTCTCCCATTCCATTCACATCAAGATTCATTTTCAATTATCTTTATATACAGAAGATCGATTTAGTATGTATTAAGTAAAGATTTCATCAGTTTACACTCACACAGAAACACAAAGTGTAAAATACTGTTTCAGTACTAGTTATAGCATTACTTCACATTGGACAACACACTAAGGACAGATCCCACATGAGAAGTAAGCACACAGTGACTCCTGTTGTTGACTTAACAATTTAACACTCTTGTTTATGGCATCAGTAATCTCCCTAGGCTCTAGTCATGAGTTGCCAAGGTTATGGAAGCCTTTTGAGTTCGCCGACTTTGATCTTATTCCGACAGGGTCATAGTCAAAGTGGAAGCTCTCTCCTCCCTTCAGAGAAAGGTACCTCCTTCTTTGATGGCCCCATTCTTTCCACTGGGATCTCACTCGCGGAGATCTTCCATTTAGGTCTTTTTTTTTTTTTTTTTTCCAGGGTGTCTTGGCTTTCCATGCCTAAAATACTCTCATGGGCTCTTCAGCCATATCCGAATGCCTTAAGGGCTGATTCTGAGGCCAGAGTGCTATTTAGGACATCTGCCATTCTATGAGTCTGCTGTCTATCACCTATTTTCAAACTTCGTTAAGCAACTTCTCCACTTAAAACTGAAGGTTCAGGATCATATTTGCAGCTGCTGTTGAGCCACCTCTAACTCTCCAAGCTCCATCAGGAGACATGGTAAATAGGAGGTGAGTATGCCATGGCTTGTACAAAGGCAACCATGACAGAGTTACAGAGAGAGGTAGAGACAGAGGTCTTCCATCCAATGGTTCACTCCCCAGATAGCCACAATGGCCGGAGCTACACCAATCCAAAGCCAGGAGTCAGAAGCTTCTTCCAGGTCTCCCACCATGGGTGCAGGGGCCCAAGGACTTGGGCCATCCTCTACTGCTATCACAGGCAATAGAAGAGAGCTGGATTGGAAGTGGAGCAGCTGAACTCGAACTGGCTCCCATATGGGATGCTGTCACTTCAGGCCAGGGCTTTAATCTGCTGCGCCACAGCGCCGGCCCCAAACTTACTATTGCTAACACTAGGAGTATCATAATGGTTTGTATTGTACATACAACATACAACAAGAAGAGAAATAGAAAACTTACATTTATGTTAAACACGTTATCAGGTACCACACCAGGGTACTGAACATATTTATTCACTTAATCCTGTGACAACCTCGTAAGTTTCATTATCTACAAATTAAAAAACTGAAATCCAAATAAGTTTACCAACTAAACATCTTACTCCAAACAACTTATATCCTTGGAAGGGGCAAATGAACCATTCAAACCTATATATTGTTGTTTATGAAGTCCATGGTGTTTTCACAACTCCCAATCCCTCCCTCCTGTTTTAATTTCAATTTCATCAGTGCCACATGGAAGAAACAATGCCTCTGAAAGGACATTCTGCATTCTAAACAGAAGATTTCAGGGGTAGGGAACGTCTGGCCCGCAGGCCATATAAGGCCCACAAAATCATTTAGTCTGGCCCTGCCAAGGCAACCTCTGGCAAGACTCAAAATTCAGTAATCTATAGCAGGCTAATTTTTAAGTTGATAACTTGGATGTTATAAACATCCAAATGGCTCTTGGCAGAAAAAAGGTTTCCCACTCCTGTATGATAACAGCAATAAACCAACAATTTCTACAAGTTTCTCCTACTTGAGGAACTCTAAGTAAATAAAATTTTTAGCTCAATTGTGAGTTACATGTGGATTCAAAATAAAACTTGCTTAGATGATGTGCTCCACAGAGCCCAAATTTTATCCTCGATGAAGTTTGCAAATTCCACAAGTTTGGTAAAGTGAAGGGAAATAAGATGTCTGGTAAGTTAAAGTGTTCAATTCCTACTTAGTACATTTGTGGCTCTATTAAAAATAAAACATACCACACAAATTTGTATACCAACAAAGCAGAAACACATCAGGATACTACTTCATACCCACAAGGATAACTACATTCAAAAAAGACAGATAATAACTGTTGGCCAAGAGTGTGGAGCAATTAAAACATTCATATTCTGCTGGTAGGAAAACAAAATGGTACAATATACTAGACAACAACTGGGCAGTTCTTCAAGAAAATTAAGTATAGTTACCACATGACCTAGCAATTTATCTTGCTGAAAGGAGCTAAAACACATATCCACACAGACATGGATAATTGTTTATAAAAGCCTTATTCATAACACACAAAAAGTTGAAACAATCCAAATGTGGTAATAAAATGGATTAAAATGTTTATATATGCTAAAATGTAGATGACCCTTAGTTCCTACTGACCCAAAACTGACACCGAGGCACAAAGAAGCTTACAGTTTATCTACTACCGGCACCACACACACAAACACACACACCCAGACACAAAGAAAAAAAAGAGGTGAGAGAGGGAAACAGGAAGCTACCTGGAGTTAAAATATCTCCTGGATGGGTTTAATGTCAAGTCACTAAAAGTGTGACCCAAAGCATTGTCATCACTCAGGAGCTTGTCAGAAATGTGAATCTAAGATTCCACTACAGACTACGGAATCAGAATCTGCATTTTAACAAAATCCCACAAGTTTCATGTATATATTAGAAAGTTAGAGAAGAACTGGTTTAGAGTCTGAGAAGAAAGTGGAGGTGAAAGAAAAGCAGGAAGGTGATGGGGAAAGCAAGGAAAGAAAATCAAAGTCGTGTCTCTTCCACTGGAGAATGCCATCTTTACAAAATAAAGTAGAAGAAAAAAAAAAAAATGAGGCCTGTAAAATTTTTCAGCGACCTCTTCTGGTTAAGAGAGGAAATTACAACCTATTGCACAGAAGTTTCCTTTAGTCTCCACTACAGACATTCCAAGGAATATTATTACTGGTAGGTCCAAAGTGCTTTACAGAATATTATGTTTTCCCTTAACAATCTTGTATGTTAGCATAACAATATCATTTTATATCATTTTAGAAACCAAGCTCACAGATCAGTAACTGCCGAGAACATGGAGCTAATAAGTGACTGAGAGATGGGTGGGCAGGGCATTATAAAACAGTAGGTTAAGCCACTACCTATGCGACATCCATAGCTATATCCTACAACAGAGAGCCATACTGAATCCCAGCTATTCTGCTACTGATTCAGCTTCCTACTAATGCACCTGGGAGGCACCACATAATTTTTCAAGTACTTGAGTACTTGCCATCTGGCAGACATGGATGAAATCCTGGGCTTAGTGAGGGCTTGACCCAGGCCTGGCTGATGAAAGCTTTTGTAGAGTGAACCAGTGCACAGGATATATCTCTGTATCTGTCATCAATGTAAACAAATATATGTGTGTGTGTGTGTGTGTGTGTGTGTATATATATATATACATATATATATATATATAAAAGGTGGGGGGGGGGGTACCTGGAATCCAGTTCTGTCTGACACCAAAGTCTCTGCTCTATTTTATGCTTCTCAGAATGTTGAAAGTCCTAATTCTGTTTCCAGAGAGAAGGCAAAGGGGAAAGCAATACAAAATGGATTCTGTGATTCTTAAAGAAAAGAAAATGAGGGGCCAGCACTATGGTATAACAGGCTAAACCTCTGCCTTCTGCCTATGATGCCAGCATCCCACATGGGTGCCAGTTCAAGATCCAGCTGCTCTACTTCCTATCCAGCGCTCTGCTAGGTGGGGAAAGCAGCGGAAGATGGCCCAAGTGCTTGGCCCCCTCACCCATGTGGGAGACCAGGAAGAAACTCCTGGATCCTGGCTTCAGATCAGCTCTGCTCCAGCCATTACGGCCATATGGGGAGTGAACCAGCAGAGAGAAGACATTTTTCTCTGTCTCTCCCTTTCTCTGTTTGTAACTCTCTCAAATAAATAAAAAAAAAAAAAGAAAAGAAAATGAAGGACCGACATTGTGGTGCAGAGGATAAAGCAGCAGCTTGCAATGCCAAAATCTCACAATGCAGGAACAGTTCAAGTCCGGGCTGTTTCACTTCTGATCCAGCTTCCTGCTAATGTGCCTGGGAAAGCAGCATAAAATGGCCCAAGTACTTCAGTCCCTGACAACAATGTGGGAGACCTGGATAGACTTTTAGGCTCCTGGTTTCAGCCTGGCCCAGCCCAGGAAGTTGTGGCCATTTAGGGAGTGAACCAGCAGATGGAAGATCTGTTTCTGTCTGTCTGTCTGTTTCAAATAAAATTTGAAGAAAAACATAAATGCAAGTACTAAATGATTTTAAAATACCTTTTTCAATTTACTAAAGAAAAAAGACAGAAGCCTTATAGTGCAGTGGGTTAAACTGCTACTTGGGATGCCCATATCCCATATTGGAGGGTCAGTTCAAGTCCTGGATCCTCCAATTGCTATCTAGTTTCTTGCTGATATACCAGATTAATCATCCGATTAATCATCAAATTAAGCATCAGATTAATCATCAAATTATTGAGTCCCTCCCTGCCATCCATGAGGGAAATTTGGATGGAGTTCCCAGTTCTTGGCCTAGCTTTGGCTGTTACAGGCATTTGAAGAGAGTGAACCAACGTTCCTCTCTGTCTTTCTCCCCATCTCTCTTTCTAATACATAAATAAATAGTTAAAAAAAAAAAAGAAAGAAAGAAAGAAAGAAAGAAAAATATGTTCTCTACAACAGAGAAAAAAAGAGAATGGAATAGGAGAACATGCCCTTAAAGAGCTCTCGTTTTCAAAAAGGTAGAAAATTTAGGGATCTCATTCAAACAGGAAGGGAGGGAGGGAGGGAGGGAGGAAGGAATGCGGTTCTCTTGTGCTCTTTTCCTCTCCTTCCCCCTACCATCCATCTGTTATGGCAAGACAGCCCTATCATTTCTTTCCTCAATATGTCTTTTAGCACCACTTTAAGATCTTCATTCTAAATGTCATTATCTAAGTCAAACTCTCTTCTTATCTCAAAGCTAAGCTACTGCAAGTCACCTAAACCAGTCATCTTATCAAAATCTTTGAAACCACTCTGACCACTACTGCCATTCTAATACCTTTTGGTCTCTGGTAAAAGGAGGAAGGAGTTGGTTTCTAGAATTAAAAACATTTCTAGCTCTAAAGGTATTAAGCATTATTTTCATCATATCTCATTCTGTAACAGTACTTCTACTATACTGGTTCTATAATGGTTCTTCTTACCAATATACTCATCTTACAAATAAAATCCAAGGTTCAGGGTTTGCCAGGACTCACAGAACACCACATACAGTACTCACAGCTATGACTTTGTACTCATATCACAGCTATGCTTATTACACTAAAAGAATACAAAGGAAAAATCAACAGAAAAAGCAAATAAGGCAAAGTTCAGAGGAAACCAAGTTGAACACTACAAGAAATCTTTCCCAATGGAATCACATAGGATGCATTTAATTCCTCCAGCAACAAGTAGACACAATAAATGTGAACCGCGATCTACAAAGGAAGCTTATTAGATGCTCAGTATCCAGGGGCTGCTCATATAGGCAGGCTTTACCTAGCAGGCATCAAAATTCCAGACTCTCCTAAGGAAAGCAGGTATTTAGCGTAAGGCTTAATATTTGCCAATTTGGACACAGTGAACCATTCATAGCAAAAGAATGGCAGGAACCCTCACAGAATCCAAGTTTCTAGGTTTTCAGACATCAGTTCAGGGCCAACTTCATAAGCAAGGCTTTCTCAAGACAGTAGTGTGAGGCCTGTTATGATAACTTGTGGGAGACCAGGTGCAGAAGGTCACCACTGTGGAACGAAGTTGGGAAATCTGGGAACAATCAGACCTGAGGCCTTGCAGCTCGAAAAACCAGCATCAAGATAATAAGTTCAAAGAGCCTGTTAGCCCAGAGTTCTACTCCCTTCCCCTTTTAGGTCTGGTGGTGACCATTTGACAGTCTGGTTTGGAATTGCTCATGGAGAATATTGTCTTTAGCTAAACAGTAACTTGGCTTGATGTCAGCAAGAATGCCTGGAAGATAAATGCAGAAATAAAAACTTGGGGCTGGCGCTGTGGTGCAGCAGGTTAAAGCCCTGGCCTGAAGCACTGGCATCACAGTGGGTGCTGGTTCTAGTCCCAGCTGCTCCTCTTCCAATCCAGCTCTCTGCTATGGCCTTGGATAGCAGTGGAAGGTGGCCCAAGTCCTTGGGCCCCTGCACCCACATGAAAGACCTGGAGAAGCTCTTGGCTTCGGATCGGTGCAGCTCTTGCCGTTGCAGCCATCTGGGGAGTGAACCAGCGGATGGAAGACCTCTCTCTCTGTCTCTGCCTCTCTCTGTAACTCTTTCAAACAAATAAAATAAATCTTAAAAAAGAAAGAAAGAAAAACTGCAAGGCAAGTCAGAGAGGTATTCCTCCTCCTAACTCAGACAGCATCCCCTTATCCCCAGCTTTTCTATAATCTGTCTTTGCCTTTCTTTTATCATGGGCCATCCCCTCTTTGTCCTGGAAAGTTGTTGCACAAGTAGCAGCAATAACTAACTCTTTTCTGCATACTACCTACTCTCATAATCACTACTTTATTTAGGTTCTGCAAACCTTACTCAGAATTTAGGCTATTCAAGTTTACCTAGAAGTCTATCACCTACACTTTCCATCTAACCAAATACAATCCCTGAGAACCTTTTCTTTCTCGTAATGCTTTGTCAAATTCTCTGATACATCTCTTCCCTTTCTTTGAACTCCTATTTCACTTTTTTTTAAATTTTTATTTAATAAATGTAAATTCCCAAGGTACAGCTTTTGGATTACAGTGGCTTTCCCCGACCCATAACTTCCCTTAAACACGCTCTTACCTTAGTAAAAAGATGATCCCTATATTGCTGTTGGGTAACAAATTTTTTACAACATACTACACAAGCAAAGGAACTGGTGAAAGGTCCACGTAGTGTAATTGTTGGATCACATGGAGAGTGATCAAACCTATTTACCAAAAGATATAATATTAGAAACATCTACATTTTAGGATGAATGATGCTGCTTTATTTGAGAAGATAAATACATGCACACATACATTCAGAATTTTGCCCTTCTCTACTGAAATATTAAATAATGTTCTTCATATTTAGCAAACATCAAGTGGCTCCCCTATGCCAAGTAATACTTTCTTACAAGAAACCATTAGTTAGGTCAGGATTTCATAAAAGTACTTGAGGTCCAATAAAATGGATTTAAAGCATTCCTTGCAAAACTCATCATCTTTTCTGTCTTGCTATGATTTCCTTAAGACTCAAATAAATAATAACTGCAATAATAAACTCATGCTAAGATTTCTGGCATATCATTGTTACCTATAAATGACTTCTAGTCCTTTCAATATTCATTTTAACCATTTAACAAATTTTCATCATTTTCCACTGCCTTAAATACATTCAAAAATAAATATAATATGCTACCTAGTTATTTACAGAATGCTGCAACTCCCTCTAAAAATCTCTCACAATAAGGTAAGGAAGGCATAAGCAGAATGAGACACCAGCTGGAAAGATAACAGCTTAGAGTTCCAAACTCAATTTCCCATCTTTCAACTATTAGAAAGGGAGACTAGGAGACTATGGATGAGGTCAGCATTGTGGTGGAATGGGTTAGGCTGTCTTCTGCGATGGCAGCATCCCATATCAGCGTGGATTTGAGTCCTGGCTGTTCCACTAGTCTTCTACTTCCCTGTGTATGTGCCTGGGAAAGCCGTGGAAGATGGTCCAAGTGCTTGGGACCCTGCCATTTACATGGGAGACTAGGATGGACTTCCAGTCTCCTGGCTTAGGCCTGGTCCAGCCCTGGCCATTGCAGTCACTTGAGGAGTAAACCAGCAGAAGGAAGATCTCTTTCTCTAACTCTGCCTTTTAAATAAATATATAAATTTTTAAAAAGGGAGAGGCGGCATTGTGGCACAGCAAGTAAAGGCCATCCGGGCAGTTAAAGCCCATATGGACCTAGTGTGAGTCCTGGCAGCTCCACTTCTGATCCTGCTCCCTGCCGGTGTGCCTGAGACAGCAGCAGAGGATGGCCCAGGTCCTTGGGCCCCTGCACCCAAAGGGGAGACCCAGGAAGGGCTCCTGGCTCTTGGCTTAGGACCAGCCCAGCTCCAGCCATTGCGGCCATTTGAGGAATGAAATAGTAGATGGAAGATTTCTGTCTCTCTGTCTCTCCCTCTGCAACTCTGACTTTCAAATAAACAGGTAATTATTTTTTAAAAAGAAAAAATTTATAATTATGGACTAGATTTCTTTAAAATTCACACAACTACACTTCAATGTAAAAAGTTTATTGAGAATTTTATGAGATGTGTTAGGGAGAAATATATAGTTAAAGGCTATACTTTTTTTTTTTTGGACAGGCAGAGTGGACAGTGAGAGAGAGAGACAGAGAAAGGTCTTCCTTTGCGGTTGGTTCACCCCCCAATGGCTGCTGCAGCCGGCGCACCGCGCTGATCCAAAGCCAGGAGTCAGGTGCTTCTCCTGGTCACCCATGCGAGTACAGAGCCCAAGCACTTGGGCCATCCTCCACTGCCTTCCCGGGCCACAGCAGAGAGCTGGACTGGAAGAGGAGCAACCGGGACAGAATCCGGCACCCCGACCGGGACTAGAACCTGGGGTGCCAGAGCCGCAGGCAGAGGATTAGCCTATTGAGCTGCGGTGCTGGCCAAAGGCTATACTTTTAAACAACACAGAATATCACTAAAGAAATCTGACTTTACCAAGAAAAACCTTCTAGGAAACATAAAAAACATAAATTAGAATTATATCAAATTAGCACCAATCAGTTTGGAATATAAAGCTATAATCACAGTGGTACTTCATACTTCATTTGATCCTCAGAATCCACTATTCTAAATATGCTATTTACCTTTTCAAATGTCCTAACAGAAGGTGTCCATTGTCAAATTCCTTGTTACAATGCATTATGGGACATGAAATTGGCTTCCCAGACACCCGCATTTGACCTCCTCTTCGGGATGAGCTTCTTGTTCCACAATTAATTGTGCCTGTTTTAAGTCCTGCAGTATTAGAATATAAATTCTTAATTACTATTTCAGATATTTGTTGTTTTGACTGGTAATCAAAATTATGACAAAATAAAAATTATGAAACAGCAGTAACTGGATAGTCCTACTTATAAATAAACACTTGCAACATTACTTGTAAAATATAATACCTTAAAAGTAATCATTATTTGGTACAAAATAAAAAAAATTCTTAACATCTCCAAGTAGCATTCTCTTGAGGGGGAAAAAATACCTTTCCTTATATTCAATAGCAAAGAACTGTTAAAGTTCAAATGCTTTAGAAAACAAAGCCCCTAATCCCTTCATTTCAGTTATATAACTTAACAAACGTCTATTTTCTAAGTCTTATTTGTGTGGCCAGCACTGTGGTAAAGCTGCCAACTGCAGTGCCGGCATCCCATATGGGCACCAATTCATCCCAGCTGCTCCACTTCTGATGCAGCTCTCTGCTATGGTCTGGGAAAGCAGTAGAGAATGGCCCAGGTCCTTGGGCCCCTGTACCCATGTGGGAAACCCAGAAGAGGTTCGTGGCTCCTGGCTTCAGATTGGCGCAGCTCGAGCCATTGCAGCCAACTGGGGAGTAAACCAGCAAATGGAAGACGCGTCTCTCCCTCCTTCTCTCTCTGTGTAACTCTGACTTTCAAATAAATAAATAAATCTTTAAAAAAAAAATCTTATTTGTTCCAAAAATTTTAAACAATAGTTAAAATAACTCTGTCCTATCTCAGAATTAGTATCTGAGTTATATGAAAATTATGCTAATATAACTGGGGAGATGACAGGAGAGTAGTGAGGACACCAAAGCAAGGAAGATAAAGAGTTTTGTTTTCTGAGGAATCCAGCCACTGATCAGCTCCAACCTGGACATCAAATAATGCACAAGTCAGTAACACAAAACATGAATTCACTTATTGTTGTCTCTCCCTTTTTAGTTATCCTATTTTGTCCCTTCTCTTTTTCTCCTGGAAAAGCCAATTAGAAAACAGTTTGCCCATCATTACCTTCTAATTAATCCCCCTTAATCCTGGCCCATTCTTCATTCCTTTCTTACAATCTTTACATCTAGAGTCACAGAAGTCTTGTAGACTAGTTCCCCTGGCCAAATTTTCTCAGGAAAATTCCCAACACAAAATGTGATAGGCTTTCCAAAAGTTTGTGCAAGATGTGCAGTATCTTCTAACTCCATTTTCTATGACATTTTGAAGCCCCCTCATCGATAATTTTAAAGAGATACACTGTATTAAAACAAACAAAAAAACAACTGGGGCCCAGAGTTGTGGTGCATTGGGTTATTATGCTGTTACCTGCAAAGCCAGTAAACTATATGAGCACCAGTTCTAGTGCCAGCTACCGCATTTCTGATCCAGTTCTCTACTAATGTGCCAGGGAAAGCAGAGGTAGATGCTCCAAGTACCGGGTCTCTGTCGCCTATGAGGGAGACTCAGATGGAGTTCCTGGCTCCTGGTTTCAGCCTGGACTACCCTTGGCTGTTGCAGCCATTTGAGGAGTGAACTAGTAGATGGAAGATCTTTTGTCTGTCTCCCCTCAGCCTCCTCTCTAATAAAGAAAATTAAAAAAAAAAAAAAAATTGTAACACAGCCAGGAGGATTCTGATCTATAAGTAGTTTTATATCTCTCTTACTACTGTCAGTTGTTTACTGTTTGACTCAAATCCCTTGAATATTTCATTTAACAGAAGACTAAATATTTATCTTTATGGAAGTTTCCATAAAACTCCTAAGGATTTAACTAGAATAGAACTACTCCTTAACAAATTCAAGTTTTTAAAACTCAAAATGGTTGTATATTTTTAAAATTTTAACTTTCTGCTGTTTCAATCCTATGGAGGAAAAAGTTCCCATCAAACTATCAAAATGCCTTTAAATACATTCAAAGAAATAATGGATGGCACAAAATTAACCAAACTTTAGTTTTAATACAGCATTAAATAACAACACAACTTTTTATCTTGAACATTTCATATACATTCAGAATTATGACAATTTTTATAACTACCCACATTCCAGGTATCTCTCATTTGGATATTAACTTGGCTATACATAGAAGCTCTGGATAAAAATAAAGTTGGAGGAGACAGTGTTGTAGCACAGCAAGTAACGCTGCCACCTGCAATGCCAACATCCCATATGGGTGCCAGTGAGTCCCAGCTGCTCCATTTCCAATATAGCTCCCTACGAATGCTCCTGGGAAAGCAGTGGAAGATGGGCCAAGCGCCTGGGCCCCTGCACTCACAAGACACACAGAAAAAGCTCCTGGCTCCAGACTGGCCTAGTTCCAACTGCTGTAGCTATTTGGGGAGTGAACCAGCGAACAGCAGATCTCACTGTTTTTCCCTCTCTCTAACTCTCCCTTTCAAATAAATAAATAAATCTTAAAAAAAAAAAAAAAAAAAAGGATGGGTCGCTCTGTGGCATAGCGGGGAAAGCCACTGCCTGCAGTGCCGGCATCCCACATGGATGCTCCACTTCCAATCCATCTCTCTGCTATGGCCTGGGAAGACAGTAGAAGATGGTCCAAGTCCTTGGGCCCCTGCACCCACAGGGAGACCCAGAAGAAGCTCCTGGTTCCTGGCTTCAGATCAGCACAGCTCTGGCCATTGCAGCAATTTGGGAAGTGAACCAGCAGATGGAAGACCACTTTCTCTCTCTCTGCCTGTCCTTCTCTCTGTGTGTAACTCTGACTTTCAAGTAAAATAAATAAATCTTTAAAAAAAAATAAGATAAAGTTGGAGAAAATAATTCTTTGAAAGAAAATAAGTCTTTCCCATGGAAAGGCAGAATACAAAAAACTTAAAGAGCAGTTTTTCCTTAAATAGTATGTAGAGCACTGTTTTAGAATTACTAAGCATTCAAATTTACAAAAATGCCTTGAATATTTCAAGTAACAGAAAACTAGGTATTTATCTTTATGGTAGTTTTTATAAAACTTCTACGAATTTAACTAGATTTGAACTACCCTTTAACAAGATCAAGTTTTTAAATCCCTTTTTTGAAAACAGTCAATGAGATTTTTTTTAAAAGATTTATTTATTTATTTGAAAGGCAGAGTTAGAGAGAGACAGAGGCAGAGAAAGACAGAAAGAGCTCTTCCATCTGCTGGTTCATGCCACAAATGGCCAAAATGGCCGGAGCTGGACTGATCCAAAGCCAGGAGCCAGGAGCTTCTTCTGGGTCTCCCACATGGGTGCAGGGGCCCAAGGACTTTGGCCATCTTCTACTGCTTTCCTGAGCCACAGCAGAGAGCTGGACTGGAAGTGAAGCAGCTGGGACTTGGACTGGTGCCCATATGGGATGCCAGCACGGCAGGAGGCTTTACCTGCTCGGCCACAGCGCCAGCCCCTAAATCTCTTTAAATTGTTCCAATTCTAAATGTCCAACTATAAAGTATGAACTCTCTAAAATTAAATTATAAACAAAGCACATAAAGTAATTCTAACCAAAGAACTAAATTATAATAGCAATAGTCTGATTAGTAATTTAGTTATAATAGATTAATTAGTAATAGATTAATTAGTAATTAGTAATAGTTTAGTAATTTAATACTGAGAAGTAGAATCTACCTTTTTATAATTAAAGAGAACAATGACTCTTCTGTGTTCTTCAGCTATAACCTCCGAAAAGATCTCAACATCCTCTAAGATCCATTTACAGAACAGCACCATTCCAAATATAGTCCAATAATAGAACAACTTACTAGCAACAGCTCTGAAGCTTCAGTGAACCCATTACAAAAACAGTGAAACTACAGGCCTTATTTGCGGGATCTAGCTTATCACTCATCAATGACCTATGTGTAACCTAAAAATACACAAAACACCAAGTTTTAAAGTATCATAAAGAGGGGCTGGTGCTATGGTAGAGTGGGCTAAGCCTCTGGCTGCAGCACCATCGTCCCACTTGGGCACCACTTCAAGTCCCAGCTGCTCCTCTGCTGATCCAGCTCTCTGCTATGGCCTGGGGAAGCAGTAGAAGATGGTCCAAGTACTCAGTTCCCTGTACCTGTGTGGGAGACCCGGAGGAAGCTCCTGGCTCCTGGCTTCAGGTCAGCCTAGCTCCACCCATTGAAGCCATTTGGGGAGTGACCAGCGGATGGAAGACCTTTCTGTCTCTCCCTCTCTCTGTTAACTCTACTTCTCAAATAAAAACAAATAAAATCTTAAAAAGCATCATCAAGAGATAACTAATTTATTTGCTCCTACCTGGTATGCATAGGGATAAACATACACAGATGTTCAAGAATACAATGCACAACCTGATAAAATACAGACAACCTGACAATCGGAGAAAAGATGTAAGAGGGCAAGTTACTGACCCAACAAACCATTGTATAAGGGACTTGAAAGTGTTAGACTCCTATAAAATAAATAATTTTTAGAAGAAATCTTAGAGATGAAGTCTTATCATTCTAGCCTATTTGCCTATCCTCCTTCTCAAACTACTGTTGAAGACATGAGGACCAGAAATCTGTTCCAAAGTTCCCAGGCATTTTTAGTGAAGCTAAGATAAAGCCACTAAGCTAGTCATTAGATTGTTCCCCTGAGAAGTGAATGCACATCAAGAGGCAGTTTTTAAAAAACTGCAAACCTAGGGCTGGCATTGTGGCACTGTGGGTAAAGCCAACACCTGTGATGCCAGCATCCCCCATGGATGCTGGTTTGAGTACTGGCTGCTCCACTTCTGATCCAGCTACCTAACAATGGCCTGGGAACACAGCAGAAAACAGCCCAATTTCCTGGGTCCCAGCTACCCCTGTGGGACACCTGGATGAAGATCCTGGCTTTGGTCTGGTCAGCCCTGGCCACTGGGGCTATCTGGAGAGTGAACCAGTGGATGGAAGACCTCCCCCTCTCTACAATCTGATTTTCAAAATAAATGAATAAATCTTAAGAAAAAAAAAAAAACTTTAAACTTTAAAAGAACATCCTAGGAGTCAAAGCCATTTATCATATTTTTTCCAGTAATTTTTGCTGAAGCAGGTCTGGAATGTCATATAATCTTTTTTTTTTTTTTTAAATGATCATGATCATCAGATTTGTGACTCCAGGCTTCCTGTGTTCAGTATGCAAATACTTATGGCCCACTTTGATATAATATTCAAACAACCCTTACTGAGCATCTCTATGCTGGGGATTCTTTTTAGGAACTGACACTATAATGCATTAGTAAAAAATTGGTCTCTATCCTTAAGGAGCAGACAGTCTAATGGGAAAGACTGTGTTTGTCAACTAAACAGAGTAAATACTATGTTGAAGAGTAAATACTATGTTGAAGAGAAATGAATAAAGTACTGTGAGATTAAAGATGGCTGAGCAGACTAAACTTATGCAGAATAAACCTTGATAGTCTCATCACATGCAACAGGATATACAACAGCCATATTAACTCAACAATCCCTAGTATTCAGTTATTATCAAGGTTATACATCAGCCTCACATGGAATTAAGAAGAAAAGAGTAGAAAAGGTATTTAGAGATTGGAGGGAAGTTTCCTAGGCACAGCAGATTAAGATACAGAGGAAATATGGTTTGAGATGGATGGCCAAGTACCAAAATCTACTCCATCCAGTATCAAATAGGATGAGGTGTTGAATATCAATAAATATAAGTGATGAGAATTCTTTTGTAAGTGGTAATTTAAGTGTATTCAAAAGAAAGTCCTCCTAAAAACTTTAGAATGGCAAAATATCTAGGTTCAACAAAGCACTGCATCTGTGTACATTTTTGATGATATTTTGCAATTAAACTTCATGTTGGATTAAATCCATAGCTAAATTGTCTGTGGATATCTCATGTCTTTAAGGGCTCAATAGATAGTCTGGAAGAATTGCTAGAAAAGTTGTCACAGTCACGATCTCCTACTAGCTCTTGAAAATTCCACCAAATTTTCTGATAGAAATGTTCCATAATGACTGCTTCAAAAAGCTCAGAACTGAAAAGAATTAGTAATAAAGATGAAACCCATTGCTTTAGACAATTTTCTAACATGTATACTTCTGAAAAACAGATATAAGCTGCACCAATGAATAAATGAGTAAACACTAATCTTCCAGACCTGTTTAATTTCCATTTCCTTAGTGAAGTCTTTTCTGATCTCAAATAATCTATTATTCACCCTCCCATAGGCACAGGTACTACTTCATGCAATAATTATCAAATATATGAATGCATGCTCTTGTTCATTCCATCACTCAAAAAATTATTTGCAAGTTCCTAAGTATATGAAAAATGAGCGGCCGGCGCCGCGGCTCACTAGGCTAATCCTCCGCCTAGCGGCGCCGGCACACCGGGTTCTAGTCCCGGTCGGGGCGCCGGATTCTGTCCCGGTTGCTCCTCTTCCAGGCCAGCCCTCTGCTGTGGCCAGGGAGTGCAGTGGAGGATGGCCCAGGTGCTTGGGCCCTGCACCCCATGGGAGACCAGGAAAAGCACCTGGCTCCTGGCTCCTGCCATCGGATCAGCGCGGTGCGCCGGCCGCAGCGCGCCAGCCGCGGCGGCCATTGGAGGGTGAACCAACGGCAAAAGGAAGACCTTTCTCTCTGTCTCTCTCTCTCTCACTGTCCACTCTGCCTGTCACAAAAAAAAAAAAAAAAAAAAAAAAAGAGCAACACCTACTGAGTTCAGGGATGATCTATTTTGTTTATACTTAAGGTACAATGTGCCAAACAAAGATGATGATTGGCAAAGTAGGTCATTGAAAGGTAGGCCATTATGGAGTCGGCGCCATGGTGCAGTGGGTAAAGCTGCTGTCTGCAGTGCCGGCATCCCATAAGGGTGCTGGTTTAAGACCCGGTGGCTCCACTTCCCATCCAGCTCTCTGCTATGGGCTGGGAAAGCAGAAGATGGCCCAAGTTCTTGGGTGCGTGCACCCACATGGAAGACCTAGAGGAAGATCCTGGCTCCTGGATCCAGATTGGCCCAGCTCCGGCCACTGAAGCTATTTGGGAAGTGAACCAGCGGATGGAAGATCTCTCTCTCTGCCTCTGTCTCTCTGTAGCTCTGCCTTTCAAATAAATAAACTTTAAAAAAAAAAGATAGGCCATTATGACATAATACTATTATCACTAAAACTGTTTCAATATCTTATATGCTTATTAGCAATTTAATAGGACAGACATCCTTTCTGCCTTAATGTTTTTGGGAAGCTCCTTAACTTTAGTATAATCTCTAAAGAATACCTGGCATTTTCAGCCACTGATCCACACACAGTCTTGCTGCTTCAGTATCAGAATGTCCTCGAATAAATTCCAATTCTTGTAACCCATGAGCATGCTGAAAGTCGACTTTTTCCTAAAGACATCAAGAAAAAACTCAATTGATGTTTGATTACTACCCTGGTTTCCTTGTGAAAAAGATTTGACACACTAATGATAAAAAATACTAATTATTCCCAGAAATCCACATCTAGAAATATATTACAAAGAAACACATCAAAAGAAAGGTTCATGTTCTAAGATGCTGATCCCAATGTTATTTGCTCAAAATTTTCTACAAGCTACATCTCCAACAATTGAGAATTAAGTAAATTATAGTATAAACAGTTGATAAAAGTTATTAGCAATACTAACCAAAAATGTTCAGGAAATAATATTAATAGCACCAACTGCCACTTAAAAAGTGTTAATATAAAGCATTTGTTGCCATCTAGATCAAGAGTTGGTCAACTTTTCCCAAAAAGGACAGCATAGTAAATATTTTAGGCTTTTCAATTAATAATCTCTACAGCAACTACTCAACTCTTCTATTACAGCACAAAAAACAGACAAAAGACAATATGAAAACAAATGAACATGGCAGCTTTCATTGACAAAAACAGGAAACATGCCAGTGCTAACCACTGAACCACGTGCTTTGACTGCTCAAAGTCCCTAAATCCTTCTAGTTATATCATCCATCAATCGATTTGTATAACTCCCTGATCATGATACATATGACAACTAATAATCACTGACCACTTACCATGTGCCAGGCACTGTTTTAAAGGGACTTTATAATCCTCACAACAATCCTAAGAAATAGGTACTATTATTATTCCCATTTTATGATAGAAAATCTGACGTACACCAAGTAAACTTCTCAAAGATAAAATAGTGCCAGGATTCAAACTCTGGCAATCTGATTCTAGAATCCAAGCACTAAACAAATACACCAATTGCCTCTCAAAAACATATGGGCCAGTCGTTTGTTGCAGCAACAGTGAAGTCACTGCCTGGGATGTCTATGTGGGTCCCTGCCACCCATGTGAGAGATCCAGATGGAGTTCTGCGATCCAGTCTTCGGTCTGGCTCAGCACCAGCTGTTGTAGGTATCTGAGGAGTGAACTAGCATTTGGGGAGTGAATCTCTTTCAAATAAAATGAAAATATATTCTTAAAATTTTTAAAAGATTTATATATAGTTGGTTTTTACTTCCATGAATTCCATCAACTATGGATTAAAATATTACAAAAAAGAAGTGTGTCTACTGAACATGTACAGATATTTTGTTCTTATCATTATTCCCCAAATAATATACTATAACAGACATTAACATGGCATTTGCACTGAATTAGGTATTATAAGTGACCTAGAGATTTAAGTATACCAAAGGATGTATCTAAGTTATATGCAAAAACTGTGCCATTTTATATAAAGAGCGTTAGCATCCATGAATTTTTAGTATTCACAGGGAATCTACCTATCCTTGGTAGATTCAGAGGGAACATTGTACTTAAAGTGAAAACAGTCATAAACACCAGATTTCCAAGCTACAGACCTGAATAATATATGGCCTAATAGCAGTATAATAGGTTGTTCTACCAGGTGGGATCAAGATTTTAATCTTTTAATCTAAAGAAAATGTATATAGGGCTGCTCCACTTGCTGATTCAGCTACTCATTAATGTGCTTGTGAAAGCAGCAGAAGACCATGTGGGAGACCAAGATGGTTCTGCCCCAGTCCTGGCTATTGCAGTCATATGAGGAGTGAACCAGCAGATGGAAAGTCTCTTTCTCTTTCATCCCCTCTCTGTAACTGCCTTTCAAATAAATCTTTAAAAACACATATAATTGAGGGGGCAGGAACAGTGGCATAGTGAATAAAGTCACCATCTACAGCACCAGCATCGCATTTGCGTGCTGGTTTGAGTTCCGGCTACTCCATTTCTGTTCCAACTCCTTGCTAATGTTCCAAGGAAAGCAGTAGAAGATGGCCCAAGTGCTTGGGCCCCTGCCACCCACGTGGGAGACCCAGAGGAAGCTCCCTGTCCCTGGGATCAGACAGGTCCAGCTCTGGCCATTGCAGCCAATTGGAGAGTGAATGAGCAGATGGAAGATCGATCTCTCTCTCCCTCTGTAAATTATGCCTTTCTAATAAATAAATAAATCTTTAAAATATACATACATATATATATATATAACAAATAAAAACTATGTAAGATTCTAAGCTCACTACAAAAGTTTTTTTATACAGCTATTAACACTGCCTAGGAAAAGAACCCAGTGTCACTCAGGAAAAGTAAGACAACTTGAAAACACTTGTTCTCTCAAAGAGACTTGTATCCATAAATTATACAAAAAATAACAGACATACCTAATATAGTTTTGGGGAAAAAGTTTTCTTAAAAAATTGAATAGTGTTTCTGTCAAGACAAAAGTAATACTCTATGTATGGGTCTGTCTTTGTGTAGTAAGCACTTTATACATACAACTAGAATACCATGGTCTAAAATTTAATTAGTATTACATCATAAAATTTAAAGCTACAAAATAACCTACTTCTAAATTTAAAGATTAATTTATTACATACTAAATTATCAGCTATTAAAACAGGCTAAATAAATATGCAAATTATTTTATAATAAAGAATCAAAATCATGGATGTTATAAAATCACAGTGCTTCTCTTGATTGAGAAGAAAAGCTATAATTTCTCCCTTATAATGTCCTTTTATAAACCGAAAGTCTATAAAAACTAAGTGACCTGCTGAAATCCGAACAGTTTCTGGCACAGCGAAGCCTGAAGTTTCACTTTTATTCTTCTAGTATGAAGGGTTTTCTTTTTTTTAAAACAACTTATCAACATTCTACACCTGATAGACATCTGTCAATACTAAGAGAGTGCTTTCCAGTAATTTCATTTGGTGGCTTCCAAAGCAAGTCAAGCGAAAAAACCGCATCATGCAAGATTCCAAATTAGGGTTCATTTTCCACATAGCAATTCTTCTACATACCTGCTTCAAATGTCTTCATTCTATTAATATTTCAATTTGGAGACAAAGGATGAAGTTTGAGCAAGCAGTCTGGTTCTATTTGACAGAAAATAACCTTTCAACAGCTTTTGTCTACAAAAGGCCTAAAAATCTTTTAACTCTTGTGAAAAAGTAACCAGAAACCCTTAATTGTTCATCTGCTTTGAGAAATCCCACAAGTTTTAATTCCCAAAAAATAAATTCTAGTCAACTTTTTTTTTCTTCTTTTCCTGAATATGGCATAAAAATCCGAAAAGCTAAGAACAGATACAAAGAAATCATCATGAATTACTTAGGTTACATGCTGAACTTCAATTGAATCATCCATTTTTTGATTAAAGGCATCTCTTTACAACATAACAATTTGTATTTAATAACTTAGTAAAACATCAATTAAAATAGCTGCATACCCTGAATGCTCTATTCTTCTCTTCCTTCTGCTGTTTCTCCACTTCAACATGGCGGGCTAGACGAGCCAAAGTTAAAGCAACTTTATCCTTCTGACGGTCAATATAGTCTTTGTGTTTAACGTTCTCCTACAGTGGAAAAAACAATTTTCATTCCTTTTAATGAACAAAATTAGCATTTGGAAAACACATATCCATCTATCAAAACAGCTACTGCACTAAAAAACATTTACTTTGTTATCATATTTCTAAGAATTTGTCTTCTACATTTTGTATTTGATACTGTTGTTTTATATGTTAGCCAGTTGTCCATACCATCTTTGGTTTATATAAAGTTCAGACCAGCAGCGTGGTGCCTGTATACCATATGGGCGCCGGTTCTAGTCCCAGCTGCTCCTCTTCCAATCCAGCTCTCTGCTATGGCCTGGGAAAGCAGAAGATGGCCCAACTCCTTGGGCCCCTGTACCCACATGGGAGACTGGGAAGAAGCACCTGGCTCCTGGCTTCGGATCGGCACAGATCCAGCTATTGCAGCCATTTGGGGAGTGAACCAACGGACGTAAGACCTTTCTCTCTGTCTCTCCCTCTCACTGTCTGTAACTATACCTCTCAAATAAATAAAATCTTAAAAAAAAAAAAAAAGAAAGCTAAACAAACTGTTAGGACATCAATCATCTTTATTCACTTTATAATCATCTAAATCAAGTATGGGAAACATTTTTCTTGCCAAGGTCATTTGGATATTTATATCGTCTGCAGGCCATACAGAATTGTCAACTTAATAATTAGCCTGCTATAGATTTATTCATTTTCGAATCCTGCCTAAGGTGGCCTTGGCAAGCCCATACTAAAGATTTCACAGGCTTTATATGGCCTACAGAACAGGTGTTCCCTAACCCTGACTAGATACTGAAGTTTTGGGGTGCTTTGTTCTAAATTAATATGCTAATGTTGTCAAGCCATAAGTTCACCCTTCAAAAGGGCTAGCACTACAAACATCTCTGGCTCTGATTTTTCAGCAATGTCAGGACAGTATTTAGTGAAGAGAAATTACTATTAAAAATAACGTAGCTGGGGCCAGCGCCGCAGCTCAATAGGCTAATCTTCCACCTGTGGCGCCGGCACCCTGGGTCCTGGTCCTGGTTGGGGCGCCGGATTCTGTCCCGGTTGCTCCTCTTCCAGGCCAGCTCTCTGCTGTGGTTCGGGAGTGCAGTGGAGGATGGCCCAAGTGCTTGGGCCCCTGCAGCCGCATGGGAGACTGGGAGGAGGTACCTGGCTCCTGGCTTCGGATCGGCGCAGCGCGCCAGCCGCAAGACACGGGCCACAGCAGCCACTTGCGGGGTGAACCAGCAGATGGATGACCTCTCTCTCTCTTTGCCTTTCCTTCTCTCTGTGTGCAACTCTGACTTTCAAATAAAAAAAAAAAAGACTCATGAAGATAATAAGCTAATATAGCAAGGCAGCAGAATACAAAGCTAACAGACCATGGGCCACTTTGTGGCACAGCAGGGAAAGTCAATGCCTGTGACATCAGCATCCTGTATGGCTGCCAGCTCATGTCCTGTTGCTCCACTTCCGACCCAGCTCCCTGCTAATGGCCTGGAAAAAGTAGTGGAAGACGGCCCAAAATACCTAGGCCTCTGTTACCCAAAGGAGAGACTAAGATGAAGCTGCTGGTTCCTGGTTCCTGGCTTCAGCCTAGACCAGACCCAACCATTGCAGCCACCTGTGGAGTGAACCAGCAGATGGAAGATCTTTCTCTCTGTAACTCTTTCAAATAAGTATTTTTAAAAATTTGAAATAAAAGTCAACTGACAAAAATCAATTACTTTCCTATAAACCAGCAATGAGCAAGCAGAATTTGAAATTAAAACTATAAAACTCTGATGAAAAAACTCATAGAACTACCAAATAGATAGGAAGACTTAATATGAGTTATACGGTCAAGACATCAATCATTCTCAACTTGATCTACATATTTAACACAGCATCAATCAAAATTCCAGCAAGTTCTTTTGTGGATGTTGACAAACTCAGTCTCAAGTTTATACGTGAAAGCAAAAGACCCACAACAGCCAACTAGATATTACAGGACCATAAAGTTGTAGGACATCACCTGACTTCAAAAATTTTTATCAGGCTACAATAATTGAGACTCTGTGGTAACGGTTAAAGACCAGAGAAACTAATCATTGGAATAGAAAAGAGAGACCACACAAATACAGCCAAGTGATCTTTGATAATGGAGCAAAAGCAGTATGATGAAGAAAAGATAGTCTCTTTTTTTCTTTCTTTCTTTCTCTCTCTTTTTTTTTTTGTGGCAGGCAGATGACAGGCAGAGTGGACAGTGAGAGAGAGACAGAGAGAAAGGTCTTCCTTTGCCATTGGTTCACCCTCCAATGGCCACCGCGGCCGGCGCGCTGCGGCCGGCACACCGCGCTGATCCGATGGCAGGAGCCAGGTATTTATCCTGGTCTCCTATGGGGTGCAGGACCCAAGTACTTGGGCCATCCTCCACTGCACTCCCTGGCCACAGCAGAGAGCTGGCCTGGAAGAGGGGCAACCGGGACAGAATCCGGCGCCCCGACCGGGACTAGAACCCGGTGTGCCGGCGCCGCAAGGCGGAAGATTAGCCTAGCGAGCCGTGGCGCTGGCCAAAGACAGTCTTTTCAACAAATGGTGTTGGGATAATTGGGTAGCTGCACACAAAAAAATGAACATAGACCCTGATTTTACATCCTTCATGAAATTAACATAACAAAATTAAACACTTCATTGCAAAAGACATCATCAAGAGAATGAGGACAAATGCCAGACGGGGAGAAAAAAACCGTGTAACACATAACCAATAATGGGTATAATCAAATATAACAAAGAACACTTACAACTCAACAATAAGAAAACAGTCGAATTAAAAAATGGGCAGGGTTTGGCATTTGGCCAGCAGTTAGGATGCTGCCCCGGACACCTGTATTACATAGTAGAATTTAAGTCTCAACTCTGCTCTCAATTCCAGATTCCTGCTAACGGTGCCCAGGAAACAGCAGGTAATGGCTTAACTACTTAAGTCCCAGTCAGTCACTCATGTGGGAAAGCATTGAGTTCCCAGTTCCAGGCTTAACCCAGCCCAACTCTGGTCCTTACAAACATTTGAGGAGTACAGCAGCAGATGGAGATCTCTCTCTCTCTACCCCAACCCCCCCGCCTCACAAATTAAAAAAAAAAAAAAAGTTAAAAAAATGAACTATCAAGCCAACAAACAGACCTAGAAGAATCTTAAAAAGTGTATTAGTTGGCCGGTCCCGCGGCTCAATAGGCTAATCCTCCACCTAGCGGCGCCGGCACACCAGGTTCTAGTCCCGGTCGGGGCACTGGATTCTTTCCCGGTTGCCCTCTTCCAGGCCAGCTCTCTGCTGTGGCCCGGGAAGGCAGTGGAGGATGGCCCAAGTGCTAGGGCCCTGCACCCCATGGGAGACCAGGAGAAGCACCTGGCTCCTGCTTTTGGATCAGCGTGGCGCCAGCCGTGGCGCCAGCCGTGGCGGCCATTGGAGAGTGAACCAACGGCAAAGAGGAAGACCTTTCTCTCTGTCTCCCTCTATCTACTCTGTCAAAAAAAAAAAAAAAAAAAAGGAAAAAAAAAAGTATATTAGCAAGCAAATGAAACCAATCTGAAAGACTACACACTGAATGATCCCAACTTTATACCACATTCTGGAAAAGGGAAAGCTACAGGGACACTAACAAGAGCAGTAGTTGCCAGGGGTTAGGGAGGAATGAACTCCAGAACAGGTTCCTAAGGCAGTGAACTACTCCTATTGTACTACAATGCCGTCATGCGTATGTCAAAACCCAGAGAACATTTAACAGCAAGAAAAAACATCTCAAGTAAACCATGGATTTGGGATAAGGACATGTAACAGTCAGCTGATCAACTTTAATAAATGTTATCACTGCTTGGGATGTTCATACTGAGGGAGGTAGGATGTGGTATATTCCTCAACAAAAGCTATATGGAAATCATCTGTACTTTCTTTTTGATTTTGCTATGAACCTCAAACTGCTATTCAACATGCACTGGCTGAAGTCTGGGAGCCAGGAACCCAATCCAGACCTCCCACAAGAGAGGCAAGAATCCATTCACTTGAGCCATCATCGATGCTTCTCAGGGTCTGCACCACTAGGAAACCCGAGACAGGTACCAGAGCCGGGTATTGAACTCAGGTACTCCAATGTGGGACACATACATTTTTTTCCCTCAAGCTTTTTAATTTCAGAATAGTTTTAATACAGGTCTTCAAAGAAGGAGGTACCTTTCTCTGAAGGGAGGAGAGAACCTCCACTTGGACTATGACCTTGTCTAAACAAGATAAGAGTCGGAGAACTCAAGGGGCTTCCATAGCCTTGGAAACTCATGACTGGAGCCTAGGGAGATTACTGATGCCATAAACAGGAGTGTCAATTTGTAAAGTCAACAACAGGAGTCACTGTGCACTTACTCCTCATGTAGGATCTCTGTCCTTAATGTGCTGTACATTGAGACTTAATGCTATAACGAGTACTCAAACAGTATATTTCACTTTGTGTTTCTATGGGGGTGCAAACTGTTGAAATCTTTACTTAATGTATACTAAACTTATCTTCTGTAAAAAAAAAAAAAAATTATCAATTCCCAACTTGACTCTCACTGGGATTAAACATAACAATAGGTCTGATCTGATTTCATCATCATTTAAAAAATCATCTATTATTTTTCACTTTATGTTTCTGCGTGGGAGCAAACTGTTGAAATCTTTATTTAATGTATACTAAACTGATCTTCTGTATATTAAGAGAATTGAAAATGAATCTTGATGTGAATGGAAGGGGAGAGGGAGTGGGAAAGGGGAGGGTTGCGGGTGGGAGGAACAGTATGGGGGGGAAGCCATTGTAATCCATAAGCCATACTTTGGAAATTTATATTCATTAAATAAAAGTTAAAAAAAAATAGTTTTAATATACAAAACAAAGATTGTGTAGAATAAAGAGTTCCCATGTACCCCAATCAGGGAGCCTTCTTAACCAAATAGTTTGTTTTAAGATTTATTTTATTTTTTTTTTAAAGACAGAGAGAGAGAGGTAGAGACAGAGCA